TTAGTGGCAATGTTATTTGTTTACAGCTAATTTGCAAAATCCCTGTTTCTCTAAATTATAAGGTTAATGGACTTACACCGATTGGCTTCTGAGCCGTCACAATTAATCCCTTGCACCGGGATGTCTTCTCTCAGAAGACATAACAAAACTACCGATAATCGTAGTACTTTCAAAAATAAATTTTTGTTTCATAAAATGTATATAAAATATAATTTCAACACACTAATTGTCAAACTAATTATTATCACACTAATTTCCAACGTTCTATCGCATTGTATCTGCTTTAAAGCGTTAGCTACTACTTTGGCAAGAAACATATTGGAGCTTTCGGTAGCTGTACAGAGAAAATACTTCGAGTAAAAAGAAGATTAAGTTTATATTTATATTCTAAAAACATTTCAACAGAACTGAGTTTCGTTCGCTCGTTGGCTCGGCCGCCTCGCGCCGGCAGAGCTCGCCTCTCATTGGTCACTATTTTTCATTAATGACTCGTAAACAAAGCAGCGAGTTGCATTTCTGCTAATGAAAAAGTTACTTCAAATGACCTCAAGAACCTCTCATTTCCCGAAAGTACCATAATTTTGGGACACATATAATACTTACACGTAATACAAAATATTTACAATATATATAATAATATATACTTGCATATATCATATGTATACATATAATATAATATACAATACAAATGTAATATACTTGTCTCTATTGTAAAACTATTTGTTAGCGTAGATTTTCTTTGGTACAATATAATAAATATAAAGTGGTACAGTATAATATACTTGTATATAATACAATTATATTACATTATATACAAATATAATACAATAACGCATATAATGCAATGTAATGTAACGTAATATATATTATACTTGTTTATTGTATGTATCAAAGAAAATCTGCACTTGCAGATAGTTTTATTTCGTAGACAAGTATAATATAATATAGAAAACTATACTTATACAATACTAAACATTTAGTATAAAAATATGTTGAGTAGACAGCTGATCTCTGTGAAAAATGAAAATTGTCTACATTAAATGCAAGAAGTGAGTATTGCACAGAGCTTTAAATTTCCTCTTATTAACTGTAATAAGTCGAATGGAGTATAATAGCATCTTTAAATTTTTCGAAAGTATTGGCTATTGTACATTTTGGATATCTAGTTTCGTTATAACTGCCTAAAGATCCGCGATTTACTAACGAGTTTCCAGAAAATTCAAAAATATGAATTCGGAATCATACTCGGATCTTGACACCTGGATCGTCGGAAATCAGCGATCGAATTCCACGTGAAATTTCGCAATAGAACCGAAGTAGTAGTAGTAGTGTAGTCTCTCGACTACATGCTGAACTTGATCCCATCTTTAGTGACAACGTTCAGATAAGGAGATACGCGTTTAGAGACGGTGCAAAGTGCGAACCGTTCGTTTCTAGCGTCACGGATGACAGCAACTAATTGCTTGACGCTGTCAGTACGCGTGCACGTAACGCACGTGTTTAAAAGGTTTCTGGTTACTAGTGATTTATGGTAGCTCATAATGTCACGGAAGGTTCGGTCTGCATCTTTTGGTTCATTTAGGGCAGTTGTTTCCCGCAATGGTTTTATCTCGACGCGGCTAACCCTCGTCACGACTAACTGAATTTCCCATAAAAGATATTGGACTACTGATGATGACCATTTCACATGGCCGGTGTACGGATCATCAATTACATAGAACAGTGTTAAGGAACGAAGTAATAAATTACGTTCTGTAATAAAGCAATAAATTAAGATACAGTTGTCTGTATGGATTATTGTATTCTTAATGGTGGATCTTTGCAGCAAATGTTCCTCTTCAGTGCTTTTGTACAAAAGTGTGCGACACAAACTTTAAGAAAGAAATTAGATTTCATTTAAATTGATATAATTTAGTTAGATTAATGGAATATAAATCGGAAGCGAAAAGTATGCAACACGAGCTTGGAAAAATTAAATTTCGTTTAAATTGATATAATTTAGTTGAATTAATGAAATATAAATCGAAAAAGAAGGTAAGCAACACTAATTTCCAAAATTAGACTTCGTGTAAACCGGTGTAATTGGCGTATATTAAAGAAATAAAAATCGAGAGTATTAATTATATTTTTTACGTATTTAATGTAATATTTTACGAATCTTAGTGAAATTTCTAATAGTAAAAAACAGAACGAATATAGATTATTAATTTTAGAATCGATAAATATATACGTAGCCAGAAAGAGCCATTAATCAATAATCTGTGATTAATCGTGCGTCATAAATCAGAATCACAATTTCTGATCACGAAGTGAAAGATTATGTCAAGTACCTACTCCAGCAATCGCATACGTGAGCATAACATTGTACATTTTCTTGAAGGAGATTAATATGCTACAATCAGACTCATCAACCGAGATTTAGCTTTCAAATAATTGATAATATTAATAAATGGCAAAAAATTTCGTAATCTATTAACTTCTAAATTGGAGCAACATAACTAAAATAACATATTAAACATGTAAGAAATAATTTGAGTCAAAGTGTATTTATATCATTTGATTTACAGAGATTTTTGCATCGAATGTGGAGGATAAGTAAATAAATTTACTGTCTTACAGAGATTTTCCTGTTGTAAACTTTTACAGCAGATAATAAACAAATTTTACTTGTTTATAAATCTTATATTTTTATATAATTTCATATAAATTTATATAAAGTCCTAACTTTTATTAAAAATTTATTCAGAAATCCGATTTTTATTCAAATTCACATATAATAAGTCTCATATTTTTAAATAATTCTATAAAATTTTATTTCAATAAAATTACTTTTATGGAATTTTATAAATTTAATTTTTCGTATAAATTTGCTTATACATTTTATATTTTTACCTAATTTCATAGAAATTCATATAGAATCCTAATTTTTATTATAAAATTATATAAAAATCT